CAGAACTTTTACAGAACCAGGTCTCCGCTCGAGCTTCCAACTCCCCGCTCGAGCGGCACTCACACAATCCCGCTCGAGCGGCCAATCCCACGCTCGAGCGTCCAACACTGCACAGGAAATACTGGATGGGTGCAATTCCCGCTCGAGCGGACAGGTCAAAGTCTGGGCAACTAGTTTTGGTTTCTAAACTCAACCAACCTGTAACAAACCTGCCCAACACATCCTATAACTCAATTACGAAGTAAAAAGGATGTAAACAAAATAATAAACAACTACCAACATCCACGGGCACATGTCCGGATCACGGTACAACAAGGGTAAATCCGGGATCGCTATAGCCACCAATGGCGGCGGCTAGCCCTCCTTCACTGCAACCCCTCCCCCATGAAACCCTTAATTGGGCAAGTTTTCTTTCAAGAAATGACCCATAATTAGCAAATGTGACTGTGAATTCAAAGTCCCACTGTTTCCACCGTCAATGTATGCCGTCGTGGCCGCCAACAAAGGGTGAGATTGCGGGGAGATCTCGCCGGAGTTGCAAATTTTGGCCAGTTTTCTGATCAGTTCAGGGATTGTGAAGCTGTCGTTGGACACAACCGAATTAGAAGCCGCCGGAGATGAGACCATTGAGCTCGGGGTAGACTCAAAGTTCGCGTACTGGTCCGTTGACTTGCCCCGTTTGGGATTGAGAAAACAATCCGGAGATTGCTTGGGCGAGTCGCCATGGGTGGTCTATTTCAACCACATGGTCATCCACGAAACTCTTGAAATCTAGATCATTCAACAAACCCATCTCGAGAGCTCCCACCATGAAACGAGCTTGCAGTGCCAACTTTGATGACTTTTCCCATGAAGATTTATCTGAATTTGTTCAAAATATTGAGTTATCAGAGGATGAAGACACCACCACTTGGTCAAAGTCTGTTGTGAGGACTGAAGAACATATAACCAATATGTCATTCAGGACTTTCTCGTTTCCATCAAAGCTCGGATCATTAGAGCCTTTTATGCTTGGAACAAGGTTCTAAATCGCGGTATCGGGTAACGTAACGGTATCGATCGCGGAGTATCGGTATCGGTAGTATCGATCGGTACGTATCGGGAATCGGGTGTCGCGGTGGTGAAATTTTAAAAATCATTTTAAAGGTTTTTCAACTTTTTCTTTCCCGTACCGGTCCGAACCGGTGAGTATCGGCCCGTCGCGGCTTGTGTAACGGCTTGTGTAACGCTTACAGGCCGATACGTACCGGGACTCGGCCGATACTCCTGCGATTTTTAATCTCAGTGGTATATCGGCCTGTATCCGTCGCGGCACCCCATTTTTCCGATACGTATCGGCCGATACGTAGCGTATCGGCCGATATTTAGAACTATGTTTGTAGTGTAACTCCACCAATTGAGTAGCTTTTGCCGGGCATCTTTGGTAGCTTCCCTTTCTTTTTTTTCTTGGATAGTTCTTGCTTGAGACTACTCAAATAACCATTGTACTTCATCAACAGGTGGTTCTTAAGTTCCCGATCTTCAGCACGTGGATCAATCTCTGGCGGTTCTATTTCTCCACCACTATTGTCTTAGGGAAAAATTAGGGATCATGAAAATTTTGTCATGAAAATGATCATGAAAAATTTATGATCCTTGGATTACCTTGATTAGTGTGTGGTACTTTATTCTAAGTGTAATCCAGGGGTCACAAAACTTTCATGATTATTTTCATGACAAAATTTTCATGATACCTAGCATTGCTGATTGTCTTAATCCTCTTCAGATGAATCAACACCCTCACATTTTTTATCTATGCATATTGATTGGAAAAGCATTAACAAAAAAATGCACTCCAGAACAAAAGAATGTAGCATCAAAAAATATTATTTCCTGACAAACAATTCAAAAAATGTTCTGCTCTGTGATTGATGAACTGTAATGTACTTAAAATATGAAACCGGCTACATGATAACAAATTGAAATAGTGTTTCTCCTAATTAGTCAGGACTGAACTGCGTTTGAAAGTTCTTGTTTTTGAATTTGAGTTGAAGATGCTTTTATTGGAAGAAGGTGGTTTATTTTAGTTTTGCGCTAGTGTATGGGCGGCATTGGAGTGGTTTTTCTAAGTGATTTACTAGTTATTTGTTTTCTAAGTGGTTTATTTGGTTTGTTAAGTGCTTCAATGTATAATATTATTTTTTCCTTCTTTTGGACGCTGTCACAATTCCACTCTTCAAGAGGTTAGACAGAATGGATTCACCAACATTGTATTATTTATTTCATGGAATGTGGAGCTTAGTAGGGTTTTGTCTTTTTTTTTTTTGCTGGATTCTAATTCTGAGATTTTATATACTTAGTTGTCTACTATGCCGTCGCCTGTAGGTCATGTTTTGCGATCTTGATGGTGTTTGGACAACTGGATAAGCTATCCAGTTCTAAAAATGACACCACCTAGTTAAAGGATAAATGCATAATCAGCAATGATTCAAAATGTTCAGATGGGCTGAAGCCAAATTGTGATCAAAGTACTTCCAAGCGAACTTGAAGAACGCATATAATCATGCAGGTCGTCATCACAGCATATTAAAACTGAATCATTCTCATCGTCTTTATACCGGATAATGTAAGTTCCGGCCTTCAGGTTCAGCCTCTTTGCCACTTGCTGCTGCAACTCTTTAATTCCTGATGACGAAGAGAGCTGAAACTTTATTGCTTTTTGGAGATATTTTGCCTTTACTGTCACATTACATGCATCTTGGGTTGCCTTAATATGTTGCTTTGTTCGACCAACAGTAGGCACGGCTTGATTAGAACTCGGACAGTCTCTCTGACTGCATTTTGAAATTTTTTCTTGATCAACACCTCGGACAGTTTTATCAGAGGGGGAATGATTATTCCTGAGTCCCTTGCGAGGTGGCCACCTGCCGATACCATATTTTCTACAGACACGCTTAAATGTAGATCGACTAACTACAAAACTGGAAGGGGAAAAAAAATTCTGGATTAGAAACACTACTGTCTGTTACCTACAGCCAAACAAAAATCTCTCTACATAGGAGTCTAGCAAGTTAATTGATGAGCAAGATCTCAAACAATAATATCTTTTTTGGAGAGTGAAAACTTACTGCCAAGGCTATTCGCAGCATCTTCAACTTTCATTCCAGAATGGCGTTGGAGATCCTCCAAACTAATTAGAATTCCAGCTTTTCTGTGTTCCCTCTCCGACGTTTTTGTTTTGCTTTTCTTCTGTACATCAGTACCATGTATGTTGCTTTGCTCCGCACTAACCACATTCCTTCCATTGTTTATGGCATCCATAGATTCCAGATTTGATGAATCCAGCTGCGTCATCTCTCTTATATTTTGTGAGGGGAGCGTAGTGGAATATCTATTAGTTTGGGGTGTTTGCATAGAATCAAGTTTCTCATCGTTGCAAAAATCAATAACTTCAATAGATAAATCTTGTCTCAGTTTTTCTCCAGTAGCAAGCTTAAAACCTTTCAATAATTGCATCATTGTTCCCAATATCATGCTCAATGAGGTCGGCAGGTCTCCATGGCCTTTGTTGATTCGGGGCAGAAAGAACTCTAGTATGTACTATGTACTCACAATTTTTAGTGAAAGGACCCTGCAAGCAAATTGCAAAACAACCGGTCAATCCAAACTTGCGTGCATAATGCGCTAGGGGATAGTCGGCAATGCTGAATCTTGTTATATCTGGGCAGAATAACAATTTATGAGATGAAAGCACCCTCCCAACAACCCCTTGCCCCTTTCGTAGGTGATGAGATTGACAGGCATCCAAGAAAGTATAATCCTCTCCATAGGGCCACTCCCCTTCCCCTGCCAAATAGGACACTGTCTTAAGTGTGCACAAGACTCGTCCTTCGCTGCTCACATCAAAGGTACCACCATGGATCCCATTGCTGCAAAACCAGCATGGGACCCATGTTTGAGCCAAACGTAAATGATGAACTTGACGCACCACCTTCAACACATTCCTGATTTTATTCAGCACATATTGAAAATCATCATTCTTGCTGTTTGCCTGGTTTAACAGTATTGTCACCAATAGATATTTATGAGTTTGAAGTTCTAGCAACATTAATTAAGAAAAAAATATGTATATATCAAACTTGACATTTAAGTCAGCAGTTTGGCACTTACAAGGATGTCACCATGAAAATATGGATCTGAATATTCCAGTTCCACCTTCTGCAGGGGAAATGAAAATAATTTCACTAAGGAATCTTGAAAGCTTCTAAATGAAAAATATTCCCAATAAAAAATTGAATTTCAACAATTAAATAAAATTAAGTACAACACTTTTGCATATAACACTTTTAAGTTTGAAAGAGAAAAAGCCTAGAATGTAAACAGTTTAGAATTGATATTTAAACAAATTTTTATAGGACCAAAATCAAAAAATAAGTTGACTACATGCTCTTAATTAATACCTAATTTCTAAAAAATTGTGAAATTACTCTTTGAGCTTACATTACATATAATACAATACTTAAAAACATAAAATAATTTTTTTCATTTAATATACATATCTTTGTTATACCCGTATCCTAATTTTTATGTTTTTTTGGAGAAGGAGGCCCTTTCCATCATGGATTCAATCCACCCACAAGTTCCCCTACAGCTACCTTTGTTATGCTTATCAAACTTGACATTTAATAAGCATAGAATGTTCCCAAAAGCATTTGAGGACTAGTGGTATAAAAAACAGGCCACACTTGAAATCAGGTCGAATTCTAGTTGTTAAAAACAGGAAAAACTAAAAACATTTGAAATAAAGGGATATTAACACGGACCTTCACTAATAGAAGCATCTGAAGAGTGTTGAGTCGTGTCGTGTTGGTGTCCATGTCCAACAACCTTCTCACAAAATGTTTATGCCTCTTAGCTCACAACCAAACATCACATCCTTCCTAACAGTCCATCCACACAAACTACCACCTCCACCATCCTTAGCCGACTCCTGTGAACTTTGAGCTCACTATGATGTGTTTATATGTCCTTCAACTTTTCATCTTTTCATCCTTAACATTCACGCTGTGGCGGACGCAGGGGGTGGCTAGTGGGGCCCACTGCCCCTGCATCCATTCCCAAAATTTTAACTCATATACACCTGTGTTGTTGAATTCCTCCTATTAAAGAATTGGCCCCTCCAAATCTCAATATTTCCTCCCCTCTCCATTTATTTGAAGCATTTAATTAGCATCGTGGCATATTTAAGTTATAATCTAAATTAGTGTTAGTTACAAATTATTGTGGTGTTTAGTTCTGAGCCATTATGGTGGTGAGATTAGAAAATTATTAAATCAAAATTATTTGCATCCTATTATGATTTTGATTATGTCTCAAATTGGTATTCGTTACAACTTATTATAACGACTTTGGTTACAAAGAAAAATGATATTTGATTATGACTTTAATTGGTTACAATCCAATGCAACTATGATCAATATGAAAAGTATTTGTACATTCTTATTTTATGATTTTATATTTAGTACAATTTGTAAAAGAAGATTATAATCTTGTATTGTATTTTTTGTTTTGTAAATGTCTATTGACTAAAAAATTTATTCGTAATTTTAAGGTTAATTTTTATGCTTATGAAAATGAATATTTTAGTATAATCTACGTACACAACTTTTGTAAGAATACGATAAAAGAAAATATGTAGTTAATTTTTTATTATATAGATTTTAGCCCTGTCTTATCAAGATTTTTGGATCTGCCACTGCATTAACGTGCCTACTATTAATTTTAAATTCTTTGTAATTATTAGAAATCTCAAGTAAGCCCCGTGTAATTTACCCTAAAATGAATCATTGTCTATAAGATAGAACCAAAAGTGAAATGTCTCCATTTATCGAAGAAAAAAAATGGAAGCATTAAGTGAAGGTTGCAAAAAATAACAGGTACTAGAAAATAAAATAGAAGGAAAGAAACAAGGAAGGGAGGGAAACAATAAAAGTAATGAATGCTAAAGAGAGGTGGAGAGTTGTCAATATGGGGTTGAAGGATAAACCTGAAGAGCCTCAGAGATTTGATCTTCCATCTTAATGAGAAGTTCATCAGCATCATGTGTTAGTTACTAGCTCAAGGACACCAACACAGCTCTGGCTAGAATGATCAAACACCGGTAAAGCCAACGATTGCGTGACATTGCAATGTACAGCATGACTGCCCTGTGGGTGTTCTTTGGTAGAGTAATACCGCACATCAGGAGTTGATTCAAGGAATTTATACTGAAACACACGGCCAGGAAGCCCGAGTTCTTCTTCACTCTCACCATCTACGTAGAATTTATACTCCATAGAGATCATTCTATACGAGCAAAGTCCTTTATCAATGATGAAAAGACAAAAAGGTTGGTCTTGAGTTGTTAGCAAACACCTGTTCTGAATTGTTACAGGTGCCCAAAATTGAGCCAGAGTTGGTAGGCAATTAAATGAAGAAGTTCGAAGTACAGATTTGATCTTATCTCTGATGCCCCAATTGGTGATCAGCTTTCTGAGATGGAATTACCTATATATTATTTCAATATTTACAAGTCTTGTCGAATTAATAAACATCCAAGTAACATATCAATAAGCTAGCTACTCTTAGCTCGGTGCCAAAAAAGGAGCAATGTCCCATAAGATAAAACACACACTTAAAAAATTTTAATATGTATATATAAAGATGAAGAAGAAGACGACTAAGACAAGATTAGCTCTGTTGACAAAAATAGTAACATTTGCAGCAAAACATACTCAAATTCAGATAAGACATATTCCAAGGAGAACAAACACAAGGCCGTGTATGAAGCGAAAAAACAACAAAAATTCCCCTTTGGTTTCAGGAAATTGAGTTTTTTTATATATTTATTTTGCTAATATTTTTTTATTTTTAGTCAAAAAATTTTAATATTTTAAGAAAATTTTTATTTTTTTAGATGCACCTAGATATAGTATAAAACATTTATGAAAAAAAATCTTTAAAAAATCATCAAACACAAAAAATACAAATATTATTGTGTATTTATTGAATTTTTTAATATTTTTTCGTAAATATTTTATTGTTTAAATATATTATATCCATTTAAAGTTAAAAGTTTACTTAAAATATTAAAAAATTCACTGAAAATAAAAAAAATCATGAAAGGCAAAAAAATTGAATTTTTAGAAAATGAATCAAAACTAAACAAGGGAATTCTCTTCCAATTTTTCCCGCACAAATCTTAACTGAAATCAAAGATCCAAATCAACACTGCCTATATGTGTAACAGAATTCATACATAATTGCATTATAATGTCTGATACATTTGCTGAAATGAAGTGCATAGAAGGTAATTGTTATTGCAAAGGAGAAATTGAAAAAAAAAAAAAAAATGAAGGAAGAAGAAGAAGAAGAAGGAAGATAGAGAGAATAAACAGAGAAAGCATTTATGGCATTCATCTATGGGTCTTGCTAAAGAAAAAAAAAATGAAATATATTTTTCATTAAATTCAATACACTTTATCAAAATTAATATATTTTTAAAACAATTTATAACATTAACAATGCATAGGGCCATTTCCCTTCATCTATAAGCTATGTGAAATGGGGAAGGAGTTTCAACTCTTTTTATCATCAAATCGGAAAGCAATAAATTGAGCCAAAATAGGCCTAAATACAAATAAGGGTAAATTCCATTTAGGTTTGGGTTTAATGCATATCATTGTTTGAAAAATTACACTAATTCTCTCTTATTATAATTATTTAGACGAAATAAAAATATTGAACTCATACATTATCTATTTTCTTACTTTTCTTTTTTATTTATTTTTATTTCTTTCTTTTGCTTTATTTTTTTTTTCCAATATAATTCCTTCTCCTTTTTTAATATGAGTTGTTACCTTTTATATATAAATAAGGAATTTTTGTTTCTTTTGCTTTATTTTTTTTAAATATAATGTCCTCTCTTTTTTTAATATGAATTGCTACTTTTTATATAAGTAAGGAATTTGTAAAATGAGACTATCAATCACATGAATAAGAATGTAATTTCTAAAAAAAATAAGAATAAAATATAATTAGATCAAACCTCAGAGTGTCAGTGTAATTTACCCTACAATTATTTTTTAATTTTTTTCAACTGAACTTGTTTTTGAGAAAAATTTAGAAACAAATTCTGAAAACTCAACCAAACAGCATAAACTATCTAAGTTAGAGTTAAGAACTACAAAGTACCAACCAATACTAAATGAAGCTTCATCAACTCCAGCCTTTTTGCTAAATGTTCTAAATTAATAGAGTTATAGAATCAGTACTTGAAAGTGTTGCAGAGCAAACAAGTCACCTTTAACAAAAACAAAGAAAAATTAACGTTCATAACTTATTACCTTCCAAACCATAAAAAAATAGAGAAAGAAAAATATGACTCTGTCTACCCTTTCTAGCCATGTAAAACATATCCAATTTGAATGGGAATTTCTGGTTCACTAGTCTAACCAGCTAATCTGGAACTTCAATGTTAAATGCAATGCTGCATGTGCTTGGACACAGGACACCCATCGATACAAATGACATGGATAAGTTGATACAACAAACCTTTTTTATTTTAATTTTACTTTGGTGAAAAGGAAAATTTATAAAATAAATATGTATAATGACACTTAACAGAGGCCAATAGAGTAGTGAGTTTCGCTATTTCGGCACTTAACCACTGGTTGCAAAGAGTGACAATCATCATTCGTCTGGTTCGAGTAGGAAGGATAGCAACCTTCAAATGATCCAAGCATAGCAAGTTTCTATAATTAAGAACCGACGGAAGAACAGAAAAGCAAATTCCAAAATATATAGAAGCCAACCAAATACACATCCTTAGCATACATACAAATACAATACACCCAACAAGTTAAAAGACCAATCAAATACATATCCATATCCAATACCACAAGAGGATAAATACACATACAGAGAAGAAAATTAATTAGTCCAACTCCTTGTCTTATTATGCAAGTCCTTTTTGGGAGTAATTAATTGTTTTCCTCAACACCCATATTCTAAAATGTTCACACATGACAAGTTTTAGCATGCTTTATTGTTTCTCTGAGTACACCCTGAAATGTGTAGTAATTGACGATGATTCACTATAAAGATTTCCCAGAAAGGAAGAGCTTACATTCCAACTTAGATCTAGAATTTTGCGTTGCATCTATTTAGCTTATACGAAGCATCAGTTCTTTGAGTCTAATGAAGGCATAGGAACTCAGCTTGAACGTGGAAAGGGGGGTATTGAAAACTTACCTACAGATTCCACTAATAATAACCTATATCACACAGAAGGGGCATAAAAACCTATATCTATAAAATTCCACTAATAATAACCAAAATCATAAATATATACACACAGAAGGGACATAAAAAATAGAGAACTCACCAGAAATTCCAAGAGGTTTTTGATTTTAAAAGACAAATTTGAGTAACTTCAATGGTGGTTCGGAGCTGTGAATAACTTCAATGGTGGTTTGGAGCTGATGAAACAGGGCTTCGTTTCAAAAACAGAAGGCAAAAAGAAGTAGAAGGAGAAGGGACATGCGTGTTTGTGAAATTCAATGGGGAATGGAAGAGTCGTCTCTCTCATTCATGGGTATGGGTATGGGTAGAATAAAGGCGCGAATTGTATAGTATATTTTATATAAAAATCAAATTGAAATGTTTTATACAACCATACTATTTAGGAGTGTGATTAAATATATATATATATATATAGAAGGGACATGCGTGTTTGTGAAATTCAATGGGGAATGGAAGAGTCGTCTCTCTCGGGTATGGGTATGGGTAGAATAAAGGCGCGAATTGTATAATATATTTTACATAAAAATCAAATTGAAATGTGATTAAATATATATATATATATATATATATATAAATATATATATATATATTCACATTTAGAAATAAAGTGTGAAAAAGTGTGAATAAGAAATAAAAAATAAAAAATAATTATCGTTTTAACTTTTGGGCAGGTTATATACATACGTATGGTTATTTCAATTTTATTTGTAAAAAATTATTTCTAACCACTCGAAAGATAAAAATTATATTAAAATAAAAATTATTTTTTATTTTTTATTTCTTAACCAAATTAATTTTTAATTTTTTAAAAAAAAATTTTAAAAATCAAACTATACATAACCTAAGAATATTTTGATAAGTTATTTCTTACGTTGATAACTTATTTAATTATTTGTTAATTTTACGACATTTTTACCATCAAGCTTGTTTGGTAACCATTTCGTTTTCAGTTTTCAATTTATATTTACAAAAATTTTAAAAACTGTAATAACAACTTGTTTGATAATTTTTTTAGTTTATAAATGGTTGTCTCAGTTTGTAAATTTGAGGAAAAAACGTAAATTCAAAAAATGAGCTTACGTTGGTTTTTAAATAGAAATTTAAAACCTTTACTAACAATTTTTTTTTTCAATTAATCTTTTTTTTCAAATAATTTTTTTCCAATTAATTTTTTTTTTCAATGAATTTTTTTTCCAACTAATACTAACCAAGAGGGCAATTGGTAATGCTACTTTAAACCTTAAAGAGGGGATTGTGATTTCTAAAATATAAGGGGTGTCAATGTAATTTACCCAATGAGAGAAAAATTAGTATTTAAAAAAATTAAATTGCTGAGGGAGGGAATCTGTAATGAAACTTTAAATCTCAGGGAGGGAGATGTAATTTCCAAAAGGTGAGGGGGTGAACTGTAATAAACATAAACCTCAGGGTGGTGTCAATGTAATTTACCAAAAAAAATTAATTGGAAAAAAAATTATTTGAAACAAAATTAATTGAAAAAAAAATTTGCTAGTAAATTTTTTAAATTTCTGTTTAAAAATCAACGTAAACTTATTTTTTGAATTTACGTTTTTTTCTCAAATTTACAAACTGAGACAACCATTTATAAACCAAAAAAAATTATCAAACAAATTTTTATGACAATTTTTTAAATTTTTGTAAATATAAATTGAAAACTGAAAACAATGGTAAAAATGTCGTAAAATTAACAAATAATTAAATAAGTTACCAACAGGTTCCTCATGTCGCCCGTACAGACTACCAACTGATTGATATCTCTGAGGATGGATTTGTATATATACGAACTTTCTCTGTACTAATTAGTGTACAATGGTTTTTATCTTCTGTTCTAGTTAATCCAATGATCTTCTTAATTAGTTTTTAACAATTAATATTTAGTTATTGGCAAATTAAATCCGAATTCCATATTGGAGAGACCTACACCTTAGTTGTACCTCTAGTACTTTTTTCCATGTGTTTGGATGATTTCAAAGCTAAAGTTTATGGCTTTCAAAGCCCTTTTTGCAGCTGAATTTGTAGATTTTAAATCTTGTCAACTTGCCTTTATTTTAATTCTTTCTTACTGGTGTATGTGACATGGTTTCTTCACTTTGATACAAGTCTG